AGACGGTCCAAATGGGTTTTCCATCTCCCTCCATTCCACGCACTGAGCATACTCCACAGCTCTTCATCTCCCATCTCCCTAATCCAATGTAACGTACCTCCCATCGCAAAATCGGCAAACGTCGGACCTACATCTCCCATAAACCAAGTGTCTCTCCTCGATCCGTTCGTGTTGATGATTTCGGACAAGGTGGTGAGGGCTTTTTGTGCGGCTTTGAGGCGGGCTTCCCGCTTCTCTCCTGGTGGCGACAGCTCTTCCAATTTGACACCGAATGACTTCTCGCGCGTCTCGCGGAAATAACGTGCACATCTGTCATCGAGTCTCTGGTGGGTGGTGAGCATCACCAGTGGCGCCAGAGGGAACACTAGCAAATCGCGCAAGGTCGTGCGCGCAAACGATGCCTGAAGAGCAGCTGTATTGTCCGGGATCACTCGAGGTGTATCTGGGAATTCGTGGTCCAAGAACCTGTAAAATCAAACGAGTTGAGGATGACAAAGACACTCGGGCAGCGTGCTCTACTCACAGCGCGATATTGAACGAGTCGGCGACGACAGAAGGAGGACCACCATTTTCAGAGGCCACAGAGATGACAGGGAGAGTGGAAGTGGGCTGGTTGGGGCCATTATCGACTGGGGACAACCCCAACTTTTCCCAGAGGGGCGCGATGTCGGAATAGGCAACATAGACGGTCTCGTAGGCAAGCTCCTTGTAATTCAACACGTATCTTTTGGATTTGCAATACCAAACCTTTTAGCCGCACACACGACACTCCATCTTGGCTGATCTCACCTGGCCTTCCACACATTCGGCGACCAACTTTGCGGGCTCAGTTTGGACACAATGTCATACAAAATGATGTTTCGGTGGGTCATCGTGACTGAGGTGTAGCTTGGCTTATTGATGGCCGTGAATGGTCGAGTCGAAATTGCCGTTTTGGGCGCGAGGAGTGAATAGGACCCGATGGGGAGGACAATTGGCCACCTGCCACCATTGTGTCCGGCACCACAGGCTTCGGGTCGACCTTCCCATTATGCACGCCCGGCTGCAACCACTGGCTGAATGGGCGCGTGGCTATTATTTCCTGTTTGGGAGGACCAAAGGCTAGGTTGCATTGCCAACCTCGTGTCGATGGTCGCCCACTTATAATACGCGGTGCAGCGCTCTCTCGACTCCTCCGGGCTCTATTCCTTTTTCCTCTTAATACCTCTCCGGACTCCTTTTACGACTCGTCTCTCTCTCTTAACCCCATCCATCTCGTGAGTAGCGACTGTTTATTACGAGCTACACCCCACTGACTCCTTTGCAGCAAAAATGCCTTTTGCTCCAGCTGATATCTACTCTGCCACCGTCGTGGACTACGAGCAACCCGAGTCGCGCTTGGAATCCAGGAGTGCCACCTCGTACGTCCCAACGCTCCTCTCCCGTGTACCCCATCTAACATACACACCCACAGTAGCCCCATCACGAGAATCCACTCTTCTCAAATCTTTTTCGTGGCGTTCCTCCTCTACGTCGCCACTGGTGTCCAAATGTACTTGCAAAAGAACACAGTCGCCCATCTCCTTCCAACCCCAGAGCCCACCGATGTCTTTATCTCGTTCTCTCGAGATATCGCCTACGTCCTTAACGACATTCTCTCGCCCTTGATGCTCCTTGCTTGCACCGTTACCATGGTTGGTACCCTCTGCAGAGGGGCCGAGATGGTTATCAAGGCCAGCTCGTTCGCGGGCAAGCTATAACGCGCCGCGCCACGAGTCCGAGACATCGACGTCTCTGTTCACGACACCCCATGACCTATCACGACTGCTACGAAACACACACACAAACACATACCACTCCCCTCCTTTTCACGCAACTGTATCATTTGCCACTCTACTACCATTGGGTAACTCGCCACTCTATTCGATGATGGGCTATTCCGAACGGTGAGTAGATTGGTGACATTTTGAATGGGGAAGGGGGACTTGAGACTGACTGCTTGTGATTCTGTGCATCTAGGCGGTGGCGAGCTTCCCTGCCAAGATTGGGGTGACTGCCTGGATCAAAGTCAGTTATGTGGCACCAACGAGAGCAGACCAGTTTGTGGTGTTCCAAGGAAAAGTGGACAAGGCCGAAGGACGCAAGGTGTTTGTATCG